GTGTTTGGGGTGGGGGGGAAGGGGCGAAGCCCCGCAAAATGTGACAATTTGTGGGATTTTTAAGGCTTATTTAATCGGTTTTGTGGTCTACTAATATGTATAAAAACAGGACTACATATTTTTTTTTCTCCCCGACGAATTGTAGTTCAACCCCACCCCATTCCCCACTGGTGCCACCCTCCTGGTGACAGGTAATCGACCGTGTCATATCTTTCTTTCTTGTGCAAATGTAACTGTGTTCATGAAAGTAAAACTGGGTATTTTTTTTTACTGAGAGTGATTCTTCTATTTTCTTTTCATGGAGGACCTTTATGTATACGCCTATGTCAAATACAGTTGCTTGCTCGGCCGTCCATGCAACATCTACCTGGAAGGTCTAATCCTGTTAAGTATTTTCAAGTCAAAATGAAATTAAATGCATAACCGCAAAAAAAATAGAGTAATACAAAGTTTGTTCAACTTAATAGTCTGGCACACAATCGGTATTTTCTGTGTAATTTTTCCCATCCTATATTCACAAAATTACCAGGGCTTTAAAGCCTAAAAACAGATCGCCTGTAAAATCTCAGTCTATTCATAATAAAAACAAGTCTATGATAACATTTTTATTTTTAATATCCTATGCTATATTTAGCTGAACTAAGACTACCAATCTTGTGGCGTTTGTCGATTGGTTGGTAACGGATTTAAATCTAGATCTGGGTGAGTCACCTCTAATTTCACATTGGCCCAATGTTGTGTTTTGGCAATATTGACAAAAAACTCATCGATTGTTTACTACTTTTAGTTTAAAAGTATTTTTTATGATTTTTTTTCTCGCGGGCAAGAATAATTTGCCTCTCGGGCCAAATTTGGCCCACGGGCTGCGTAATAAGAACCAGGTGTATGTCATCATTTACAGTTCGCCAAATATATAGGCCTAAACAAAAGCGTCTATGTGACTGGGTTGCCCAAATTCAAGAAGACGTGTTATTGAGGACCTATCCTCATAGCCCAGCTACAAACAAAAATACAAACTGCTTAAAAAGTAGAATTATTAATTATATAAAATATGGCCTATTCAAAACTAACAAAGACATAGGCCTATTTTGATTTTATTTTCTTTTTCTATTAATATTTAAACAGGAAGTCCCACTCGGCATGGCTGAATTTCAGATAAAAGTTATAAGAATATATTGCAAAGGATTTTTAATTGACTTTATGTTATTATCAAGTTTTTGTGTATAGCTTAGTTTGGATTGATAATAAAAGCATAATTTATTGACTTTCTTTGAAGAACAGAAGACGTGCGCCCAATTAAAAAATCGTTTTTAATGACGATCCGTTTAGACTGCCACCGACAACATAAGGGAACGTATTGAGTGTCCGCATTTATTCTTAGACAGATAACTGTGCATTTATTTATACTCGAACATAAGCACATTTTCGGTGTTTAATAATAGAAAATAAAATTTAGACGGCGTAACGACTGCTTATGGGACCCGGGGCGCAAATGTGTCGGATGGAGGAGGGGCTTGCGGCTCAGGAAAGTGTTTTTGCTCGCGAAGACTTCAAGAAGTGGGAAAGCTTCCTATGTAGCTTCATGGCCGAAGACAGGTCAAGGTATGTTGGGTAGTAGTAAGAGAAGCTCTTCCATTTGCCAGCTCTTTTAAACCGTTTATTAAACTATACACAATTTGATGGAAATGTATTTGCTCCCGTGACTGCAGATTGATCCATAGAAACAAAAAGCTATAATATAATGTAGGTATACATTGGAATGGACATGAAACGTTACTTTTTCAGGTCCCTAACAACACACAATGGAAATTTAAATACAATTTTCAAGAATTATGGCTTTCAAAAACCCAATAATTACAGCCTATATGCTATTTTGTCGGATCTTCTCGGCCTGGAACCCAACGGGGACCCTAAAGGGGCCCAGCCTAAGGCGCGCGTCGCTTACAAGCGCACCCCCTTCCCCATCGAAAATCCTGCCTGTCTGCAAACAAATGTTATGGATAAGACTTGTATTGATCTAAAATTCCAATCTGTAAGCCTGCATGATATTATTAGGCATATACAACTATTCGAGGCACATATCACCCATCATGCTATTAAAAGGTCGATTACGGGCCTAAAAGCACTTAAAATACATTGTTCGAAATTCCAGGGGCCTCGACCTTTCGACTTCTCCAGAGGTTCTGGGATATCGCCCCTCCCTGCCTTCGGGCAAATCTTGGCGACACCACTTTTGTTTTGTGATTATTTTACATAAGCAAGGAATAAGATCCTCAATAAGCAAGAAATAGTGAAAATGAAGTTTTTTCTTCTTTTGGCAAAATATTAAATCAATCGTATGGTTGCAATAAGTATAATGAATGTAGTGTCCTAAATAAGTCTTTGAAACCCCTAAATTGTCATATTTTCGGGAGGCTCGTCCCCTGAACCACTTTCGAAAGGTATTTAGCGACGCCCGACCACGTCCACTTTATTTTTCGTCAGGGACATCAACCC